TTGGTGGTTAAGATGCTTGCCTTCCAATCCCAGGGTCCTGGGTTCAATTCCTGTCAGTGTTGCAGGATTTTTTCTCACGACCAAAACAACTCCACTCCCTAAATCTCATATTGAGATTTAGTTTGTGTAAAGCATCGTGTGTGTATGTTTGTCTTGTGTAAGGGATTGTCACCTACAAGTAGGACAGTGATATATTCGCTATTGACAATCCTTGCCACGTATTGTGTGCCTAAATAAATAATAAAAATAAAAAATAAAATAACTCATTTCTCCCATAACAATGCAAGTCATAAGAGGACTGTCCATTATATTATATACTAATAAATTGTACGGTATCCTGTATTTTAACACCATTAAATACATTATTTTATACTTAAGTTTATGTATGTGTAAAACTTGAAAAAAAGAATTTAAGTAAACCTTTTACGCGACAATAAAGAGAAACTTGAACGACGTTGCTTGACAGAATAGCCAGATAAAATGTTTTTCTGTCTGTTTTGTGTGTGTGTGTGTGTGTGTTTTGTTTTTTTTTTGGTTTTTTTTTTGTGATACGTTTTGAAGGCCTATTTCAAAGTTCCAATATTGTACAAAGACTGCTGTGAGGCCAGAATATTGAGCTTACAATCTAAAGTGTTCTAGATTGTAAGCTCAATATACTTGTTGAAGTCTTACTTATGCTAAGGTCATATATTATAAGCCGCTTTGACAATCGGAGAACGCTATCTTTGTTTATAAGATCTTTAATTAAAGTTAAATAGGTATGGAACATTCTCATGATTTAATGTAACCTATTTTGAATATTATTTTATCCGCAGTTTATTAAAAGAAAGTTTTTTTTGTACATTATATCAAAGAGTACAAATACTCTTTGATTATATTTATGTTTGTGTCTTTATGTGAAAACTATACAATCGGAAAATATGTCTCATGATATGTAGATTAGATATGCCGTGTTTAGCAAAATTAATAAACCTCAATGCGATTGATAAAAAAAAATGCTGCCGTTTGTGTATTATCCGGTCACCAGTACATTGTCAGTAGTTTACGTGGCGCTTTTATTTTTTATAAACCGTACAAATAAAAACAAGCGAATTTGCGTCGTTTCGACTGCTATTCGCTAATTTGTATCACAGGCAAAATGTGAATATAAAGTTTACACACAAACAACAAACTGTTTTTGGGTATAGCGAGAGGATTTAAAAAGGCTAGTGGCGGGACAAATTATTTTGCAAAGTGTGAGGATCACATGTTATGGAGTATTGTGTGCACCATCAAGCAACAAAGAGCATAAAAAAAGCTAGTCACGACCAAAGTTCTTATTCAAGTCATCGTCATTATCGACGACGTCCAGAATAACTCTACATAAGTCGAGCAGTCAGTATTTTTATCGCATTAATGTAAGCCTGCCGTGGAGGTGCTAGGCCTAGGCCTCTGTCGTGTAGCGTATTGCTGTTATTTTTATTTGTGTATCCGCATCTTACATTTCCGAAAGTATCCACTTTTACTTCCCTCCGTCATCCAATTGTCACACAAATCCATTTGCAAAAATCAATATTATACACACATTGCGACGACAGTCGTCGGCCTACGCGATTCTACAGAAAATGCAACGCGACGAGGCGCTCGCATCGGATCGTGATCTTTTTCTATGACGATCCGCTCAGACTGCCTGGCCACCAACAATCGGTAGAGTGTGAGTGGGTGGGTGCGTGTGTGTATTTGATTATTGCTTATTATTCAACGACTGAAAGTGAAATTTGGAAACAAAAAATCGTCGAATTATTTCCACTGTTGTGATTTTTCATACAGGACGCTTTCACTTTTGTTGTTATACTTCGTAATGCTAATGCAACGATTAATCAGTGTAATGTAACAATAAAATCAGTGACCAGACCTCTCAAAAGAGTTCCACTTGGAGGGGGTAGGGATCGTCACGAATGAGTGATGAGAGAAGGGAATTGTTACAGAAATAATTATGGAGCAGTTATCCAACCCGACTGACGAAGTAGAGCGCATAACACCAAGCTTGAGGGCGTACATTAACCATGGAGGTATAACTTACTCCTTAAACATGTTTGGCATGATTCGTCCGTTGTTTAACTTTTGTAGAGCGTAACTAGTTATATGCCTACTCAAATAAAGACTATCATTTCTTCCCCTTGAGACTGCGGGCGGTTTGAAACAGGGCCTCGGTGGTCATGTCAAAAACAAATTTCAATATATCCGGATGCCCCTATGATCCGGGGCAGATGAGGGTTAAGTGTGGGCATGAATATTAAGTGAAGTAGTTAAAAAATTAGTTGATATGAGGTAATCAAATTTCCAGTGGTGGTGCATGCAGAGGCGTGAACTGTACTAGGAGCACCTGTTCCCCTTCCCCAGATACGCCGCCGTCAAAGCGGCTTATAATATATGCTCGTTCTTTTGTCTGTGATGCAAAATCATGGAAACAAGGACTATCCTTGTGAATTAGGACTAGATAACCTTTATATTAATGACTTTAAATTGATGTAATTCATTTGCATCAATTAAAAAAAAATCATGTTTAATAACCATCAATCGTTTTGTGATTAAATATGGTTTTTAAATATTTTTAAGCTGAAATCCTGATCTGAGCGCATTGTATCATAATATTTTTTGCGGCGTCAGCATTTGGCAAGCTTGACAGCTTACAAAATTCACGAACGTTTTTGGCTGATAGGTGTAACCGATTAGCAGGCTGTTTATGTTGTGACGAACACTTGCAAAAGGATTACATAACATGTTTAGGTAATTTGAGGTGGCCTGATGATTTCAACAATAACCGGCGATACAATACAGCAAGTTTCATATTGGAGAGAACTTTTCAAGACAGCGCAATTCCTTGAACATAAATTTACTCTCAAAGTTTACCAAACCTTTACTTGCGACTATTTTTGTTTCTTACTTACCAATCATCTGGCTCGAAACACTTCCTTGAATGAGATGATACAAAGCAAAAGTTTCTCTCGTGACTCGTTGACGAAATTATAATCACTAGAGCATCAATTCTGCTCTAGATATAATTTCGTCAACATCATATGTTAGAAACCACAACGACGGATACTAAAAAGCCTTGGTACATTTTGCATATTTCATTTATCCCAATGCCTTGACTGATAGTGTGCAACATAAGAACTTCATCTTGGTCATCTGCTCAGTATGCAAGCATCAAGTGTACAAGTCCTGTTGTTTATTTACTGTATAATCAGTATAGATACAGGTAATGCATTTGTTTTTATTATTCTTCCTAATTCCGAAACTATTATTTTTTTAATCGAAATGATCTTAGGTTTTTCGAAAGGTACTAAAACGGTCATAGGCCTAGATTCTTTATTTTTGCATATGTTAGCTTTTCAGCGTATTAGAAAAGACATTACCGGCGCTAGCCTTGGTAACGGGGTTTGAGTACAAACCACAAACTCCGATCCGTATATAGGTTTTTAAATGTTATTGAGCTATCATTTAATTTATTTTATGTAAATATCATGCAATTCAGCTTCAGTTGACTCATTAAAATTCCCATAGCTACTCATATTCCTGAATCTTAAACGGGAGCGGAAGATGGGTTTGTTGTCTTGGTTGCCGATATAACAAAGGCCTCCGTTTATATCATGATGTCATTACTTTCATTAAATTCTTTATTGTTTTACAAGTATAGGTTGTGATATTTTGCTTTGTATTTTTAGTAGTGTGTTCCTGTGCAAAAGGATGGCAATCGTTTGGCAGCAGTTGTTATAGATTTTTTGACATTAAAGTAAATTGGGAAGAAGCCAGACATGCCTGTCAGACCATGAATGCGGACCTCGTCGTGGTAAAGGATCAAGAAGAACATGCATTCATCTTTAACAATGCCAACAGGACTGGAAATATATGGCTAGGCCTGACAGATATAAAAAAAGAAAGCGACTTTATATGGATCGATAATGGTGAATGCAGCAATTTTTCAAGTAAGCATGGTTTGCCTCAAAATGTATAGGCCCTATATAATAGTATCCGATGTTGTTGGTGTAAATGCTGAAGAGGAACACAGGCGTGTCCGAAATATTCGTCGTGAATAAATTTTATGTTTCTATTATGTCAACGTATGCAATCGTTTCATTTTTTAGTATTTGCTTA